ATAAGAACAAAATATAACATCAAATTATTATAAATAGCGTCTGTAACCTTATATCAGTTCATATTAAACATTCAGTACTTGGTTGGTCCTCCTCGTACTCTAATAACTTCTGCAAGGCGACGTGTCATGCTGTTGATGAGATTATTGATGTAATACACCGTGATTTCATCTCAACTTGTCACTAGAAGGCGCTGCAACTCAGCCACAGTAGATAGTTTAGTGTCGTGGTTAGAAATTTTCCAGCTCAGTTCTGCCCAACACTTCTCAATGGGATTACAATCTGGAGACTTTGTTGACCATGACAATCTTGTAACGTCCTCCTGGTCGAGATAATCTTGTACAATACTTGCACTGTGGGCAGTGGCATTGTCGTCCTGGAACACAAAGTTATTGCCAAACCTTACCCTAGCATATGGTAAAATATCGTCTCTATCTGATGCCTGTAGGAGGCGCCACTGACGTTTCCCTGAAGGATATGAAGAGCAGTTTTCTATGATGATGAATAGCTGCCCAAACATGTACTGCACCACCTCCTGTGAAAGACAATCTTACCTCATCTGTTCACCAGTTAAACGACGAACACGAATCAACCATCAGCTCTAACTGCTGTTGGCATGCTGTTTTGCCCAAGTTACACGGTGACAGCGGTGAATTCTGAGTAATATCAGTTTGCAGATAGCCCTTGGTGTAAAATAAACTTCTTTAGTCAGTCTCCTATTCACTGTTCTTTTGGATACCCTGTAATGAATGTGTTCTTGCCATTCCTGTAGTAAGATGTTTCAAGACTTCTTTCTGTCTTGACGTGTTAAGCTGATCAAAACAAAGTCATCTCGAGTAGTAGTTTTTCGGCGTCTACCAGTAAACTTTCCTGTAGTAACGTTTTCTGTAGTCTGATGGTGCTTCAAAATTCTGGATATAGTACAATGAGGGTACCCTACTGTTCTGGAAATGTCCATTTATCTCATCCATTTCTAGACAGTCCAACAATTTTACGCCCTATAACTTCTGGCACGCGACGAGGCATGACTCTACAATTAGTAAACAGAAACTGTCTGAACCAATCGTTGATCTATTTCTAAAAAGATTATACCAAAAGCACACTCTTTTATAGAAAACAGTAGCGTACGTGTTCATTGTCTAACAAATGTTTAAAACAACTTATACAGACAAGAATTACAACTCGCACATGTTTTTCCGATCATTCGCTACCTTCTCTGTTACTACTCGGGCATTTACTCAATAACTACTCCATGTATGTAGACAATAACATAAATATAGAACATTTTACAAATATTTTGGCCATTACTGTAATTTAGATATACTTTCAAACAACTTCAGAAAAGACCAGTTCAAAAAACAAAAAAGTTTATTTTTCTTTCAGAATATAAGCTCGATCTTATAATAAGAAAAGTAGTTTATCTTATGATCATATGGATTCGTTTGATAAACGTAAACCAACAAAATAAACATTTTACAGCATATTGAGGGAATGTAATCTTTCAGACGAAGACTATAAACATGCACAAAATGTTTGGAGAGAGCTTAATATTAAAAAAACAACAACATGGGAGAATATTTTTATATAAAAACTGATGTTTTGATATTAGCGGATACTTTCGAAAACTTTGGAGATCTTTGTATAAAAATATATAAATTACACCCTGTTTGATGCTACAGAGAACCTGGTTTATCATGTTAAAATGACTGATGTTGAATTACAATTATTGACTCAATATGATATGATCTTAATACTTGAGAAAGGTAATCGTGAAGATAAATCCAAACGAGAAACAAATACATGAAAGGTTATTATCGTTATAAATAGTTTATTTATTTAGATTATCTAGATGCTAATAACATATATAGATGGGCAATAAATCAATATTTAACTGGTGAAGGATTTAATTGGAGTGAAACAAATGTTGATGTAATGAAAGTAAGTCAATCAGATTTATTGCCACACTACCCGGTCAATCACATTTATTTCCACAATACCTATCAATAACACTTATTTCCACAATAACTTGTCATTCACATTTATTGCCACAATACCCATTTAGTCACATTTATTATCACAATAACCTGCCATTCACATTTATTGTCACAATACCCTGTCAATCACATTTATTGCCACAATACCTTGTCAATAACACTTATTGCCACGATACCCTGTCAATAACACTTATTGCCACAATACCCTGTCAATCACATTTATTTCTACAATACCCTGTCATTCACAATTGTTGCCACAATACCAGTCAATCACATTTATTGCCACAATACCCTGTGAATGACATTTATTGCCACAATAACCTGTCAGTAACACTTATTGCCTCAATACCGTGTCAATAACACTTTGTTGCCACAATACCCTGTCAATAACACTTATTGCCACAATACCCTGTCAATAACACTTGTTGGCACAATAACCTGTCAATCACATTTATTTTTAAAATGTACTCATCCTTCAGTGTCACAGTGATAACTTTAAATTTTTATAACTCTATACACCGGGACTCGATACCAGTTGTGAGCACAATACAGATAGTCTATTGTGTAACTAGAAACAAACGAACTAATAAAAATGTAATGTCCTATATATCACGTTATTTCTTTACATAATACCCTATGTATGACATGTAAATCACGTTTACTTTTACATTACCCTCTCAGTCACATTTGTTGATATCATGACCTGCCAATAAAATGAAATTTATATCGTTTTGTATTTCACATTACTTCTTTTCACAATTCCATTTATGTCAGATTTACAATGTCATGTATATCGTAGTCTTATACTTACAATGTCATGTATATCGTAGTCTTATACTTACAATGTCACGTATATCGTAGTTCTTATACTTACAATATCATGTATATCGTAGTCTTATACTTACAATATCATGTATATCGTAGTTCTTATACTTACAATATCATGTATATCGTAGTCTTATACTTACAATATCATGTATATCGTAGTTCTTATACTTACAATATCATGTATATAGTAGTTCTTATACTTACAATATCATGTGTATTGTATTTCTTATATCTACAATACCCTGTGTATTGTATTTCTTATATCTACAATGGCATGTGTATTGTATTTCTTATATCTACAATGTCATGTACGTTGTATTTCTTATGTCTCCAATGGCCTATTGTTGTATTTCTTATATCTACAATGTCATGTATATTGTATTTCTTATATCTACAATGGCCTATTATTGTATTTTTTATATCTACAATGCTCTCTGTATTGTATTTAGTTTAATAAGGAAGTTCCATGTATTAGGGCTTCAGGAAGTAATATAGCGTCTAGTTAATTAACAAACATTATGCAGCAACGGTAAGTAATATAGCATCCAATTAATTAACAAACATTAGGCAGCTGCAGGAAGTAATATAGCATATAATTAATTAACAAATATTATGCAGCTTCAGGAAGTAATATAGCGTCTAATTAATTAACAAACATTAAGCAGCTTCAGGAAGTAACACAGCAGCTAAGTAATTAACAAACATTAAGCAGCTTCAGGAAGTAATATAGCGTCTAATTACTTAAGAAACATTATGCAGCTTCAGGAAGTAATATAGCGTCTAATTAATTAACAAACATTAGGCAGCTTCAGGAAGTAATATAGCGTCTAATTAATTAACAAACATTATGCAGCTTCAGGAAGTAATATATCGTCTAATTAATTAAGAAACATTATGCAGCTTCAAGAAGTAACATAGCATCTAATTAATCAACAAACATTATGCAGCTTCGGTAAGTAATATAGCATCTAATTAATTAAAAAACATTATGCAACTTCGGTAAGTAATATAGCGTCTAATTAATTAACAAACATTAGGCAGCTTCAGGAAGTAATATAGCGTCTAATTAATTAAGAAATATTATGCAGCTTCAGGAAGTAATATAGCGTCTAATTAATTAAGAAATTAATATAGGTTCAGGAAGTAATATAGCGTCTAATTAATTAAGAAACATTATGCAGCTTCAGGAAGTATTATGCCGCCTAATTAATTAAGAAATATTATGCTGCTTCAGGAAATCGCATGGTGTTGATTAATAAATTAACATGTAGTTTTAGAAGTTAGTTTGGTGTTTATTAATGAATTAACATGTAGTTTATAAGTTAGTTTGGTGTTGATTAATAAATTAACATATAGTGTTAGAAGTTAGTTTGGTGTTTATTAATGAATTAACGTGTAGTTTTAGAAGCTAGTTTGGTGTTTATTAATGAATTAACATATAGTTTTAGAACTTAGTTTGGTGTTCATTAATAAATTGTCATGTAGTTTCAGAAGTTAGTTTGGTGTTGATTAATAAATTACCATGTAGTTTTAGAAGGTACTTTGGTATTTATTAATGAATTAATATGTAGGTCTAGAAATTAGTTTGGTGTTGTTTAATAAATTGCCATGTAATTTTAGAAGTTAGTTTGGTGTTGATTAATAAATGAACATGTAGTGTTAGAAGTTAGTTTGGTGTTTATTAATGAATTAACGTGTAGTGTTAGAAGTTAGTTTGGTGTTTATTAATGAATTAACGTGTAGTTTTAGAAGTTAGTTTGGTGTTTATTAATGAATTAACATGCAGTTTTAGAAGTTAGTTTGGTGTTCATTAATAAATCGTCATGTAGTTTCAGAAGTTAGTTTGGTGTTGATTAATAAATTACCATGTAGTTTTAGAAGGTACTTTGGTGTTTATTAATGAATTAATGTGTAGTTTTAGAAATTAGTTTGGTGTTGATTAATAAATTGCCATGTAATTTTAGAAGTTAGTTTGTAATTTATTAATAAATTAACATGTAGTTTTAGAATTTAATTTGGTGTTTATTAAGAAATTGACATGTATTATGGCCTTAGGAAGTAATATAGCGTGTATTTATAAAGTCTTAGTTCTGCAGGATACAATGGAGTGTTTATTAAAATAGTGTCACGCAGCTTCATGAAATAGTATTGTGTTTATTTTGTATTTTTACTTCTTTTAGTTTGTTCGCTAATGAAGCTAGGTGTGGCGGGTATTTTTGGGACCCAGTCAGACGTCACTAGTATGCATGTCCAATCCATCTGTGATGCCCTGGATATCCCCCACGTAGAGGCTCGATGGGACTTTCAACTCCAACGTCAACGTTTACCCATTAACCTGTTTCCTCGTCCAGCCATGCTCGGTAAAGCCTATGTAGACCTCGTCAGGATCTGGGGATGGACAGAGTTCTGCCTGGTGTACGAAGAAAGCGAAGGTGGGAATACATGTGTTCATTCCCAAATAAAATGTTTTTAATTGTGTATCAGTTTAACGTTGAATATTATTTATGATTTTAACTTTATACACAAGTGCCAAAATACAATAATTACACACAAATATTATGAAATACTATAAATACTTC